GCAGCAAGGCCTTCTGCAGGCTCTGAAGGGGATCTGGGGCTCGGGGTAGGAGACTCTTCTTTCTGACGGGGGGCTGAGCCAGAGAGAGCCCTCCCTAGAGGAAGCTGGAGGGATGGAATAACCACGGGAGACGGAGTCAGCTGGGAAATGCCCTCCCCCTCCCTGCCCGCGTGGTCTCTGCCAGGGCAGAGGAACCTGCTCAGCACAATCGCCAGGCGCCCTTTCCTGTACTAGTTACTCAACTTCTCTATCCTGAGGTCTCACCGCAGCCCCAGGCCCCCGTGGGAGTGAAATCAGCAGGATGGTGCAGGGGTGCCTATGGCTATGGTGCGGAGAAGGGAGGTTCCACCACCTTGGTCGTCAGGGCTGGGCCTGCAGCTGGAACCCTCGGGAGGACCGGGGCCTTATCCTTTGGCCTGGGAGGGACCTCACGCTATAAGGGGGAACATTGGACTGGGATGACAAGATCTGGTCCTATCTCCAGTACTCTGTCACCTCCCCTCTCTAGACCTCAGTTTCCGATTTGGTTGAACCAAGAAGTCAGTCACAAGGGGTCTGAAGTCCCTTCTAGTCCCAGCGGTCCTGCTCGGCCAAGCCCCTCGCTGCCTGGTCTCATCTGCTCTGGACAGCAGCCCTGTGGGCAAATAAGGCATTCTCTCCATTTCAAAGCAATGTAGGGAACAGTGGTGCAGAAAAAAGTTCCCCTGTTAAAGGCTGGGCAGCTTGTTAGCAAACAGCCGTAACAGGAACCCAGGGCTCCTGACAATGCCATCATCTGGATCCTCCCGCCCACTTTGGGGAGTCCACCCCTAGCTGTGAGGAGCTGAAGAGGGAGGGGGAGATTCCCTGGGTCCTGCTCACCCCTTTCTAGCAGGCTTTGCTCCTTCAGAAACACCAAGTGGGTCCCTAGGCATTTCTGTCCCCTCCCCGAACCCGCCATCCTGTTCTATCCCAAAGTCTAAGGAAATCCCATCTTCTGACTCTGATTTCCAGCCCTTGCTATACAGCAAGCCTCTCCTTTTCCTGCCTCCTCCCCTGCCACGAGGAACCAGCCATGAGGTGACTCCCTGAGTCTAATCTAAGACCTTTCTTGCACTTTCAGCCTCCCCTCCCAAAGCCATCTGCTCCCCTCCCCTCCCCCGTCTCTTGCTCAGGAGGGAGTTTAGACCTACAGACAGAAGGAAGTGGAACCCCACTCTGTTGACTCAGCAACCATATTTCTCCTTGAGCTGATTAGCACTGAGTGGAAAGGAGGGGAATTCACTAGTCACTGGAGCTGGCCCTGCACCAGGCTGGGGGTGGCATGGTGGTGGCAGCACCTAGGCCTAGGGAATATGTCTTCAGGGAGGGGGTCTGGGGGGCTTCTGTGATTCAGGCAAGTACCCAGGGCCCCTTGGCAGGAAGAGAGACCTCGATAGGCTCTGATTGTCTTGACTGAACTCTCATAGAACAGGCTGGGACCACAGGAGTACCCAGAAGCCCCCTGAGTGGCTCCTGGGGGCAGTCTATTCTGAGCCCTCAGGGCCATCCAGGCGCAGACACAGCCCTGCCTCAGGGAGCCTCCAGTCTGATAAAAAAATAAGACCCAAGGCAGATTCTTCTAGGTGGTTGAAGCTTAGAATGCAGAGCTTGGCCACAGAGGCAGGAAGATGGCCCTGAAGTGGGTCTGGGCAGACAGGAGGAAGCCTCATAAGAGGAACAGGGGAGGCCTAAGCCCAAGAGGCTGGGAGCTGCTGCAGGGGGGCTCCCCATCCTCCTAAGGGGCTCACACACATAGGCTAACAATGCCCCCTCCCCCTCCCAGTCCTGTGTTTGGCAGGGGGTTGGGGAAGGAGGTGCAGGGGCTACCTTTCAACCACTCCCCTCCCTGCCCCTTTCTTTCCTGGTAACCCGCAGGTGATGTAGCCACCCCTCTGCCCCTGGCTAGCTGCCCAGCTCACCCCAGTTAGGGAAAGAATACTTTTCAGAGAGAGGTCTGTGTCCCTTGCCTTGCTGTCTCCCTGCCCCCAGCCCATAGATCTGTGACCCTTGCCCAGGAGTCTCTCAACCCCCGACCCTTCTCCCACCATTGCAATGGTCGTTCAACCACTTGCCTTCCACAATATGAGAGAGAGAGTCAGAAGGAGAGACAGAAGGAGCCTGGAGTACTTGAATCCCTGTTGGGGGAGGTGGTTGGCGATGATTTATTAGCTAGACAAGAATCAACAAACAAGTTCTAACATCTGTTCTCGCCAAACTGTTCCTCAGACAACAGCAGCATTGGACCAGGGCCCAGACTCAAAGGCTCAGAGGGCCAAGGATATCAGACTCCAGGAGGAGAAACCAGGGCAGCGGGCTGCAGCAGGGCCCTCCTAGCCCACTTCCTTAGAGGCAAGCACTGAGCCATTGGATTCTTGGAGACTCTTGGGAGGGAACCAGTGGGTGTGTCCCTAAAAAGAAGCCGACTCCACATTTGCTCCTCTGACCTCCAGGCTTCTTTGTGGGGCCCCAGACCAGTTAGGGGAACAGGGGTAAGCTGGGATCTGGAGGAGGGGAACAAGCACCTGGGCCCCAATGAGGCAGAACTCTGGAAAGCAGCCAGATTTCCTGAGGAAATCTCTGACATTTCCCGTGGTAAAGAGTTAGTGGATGTGGGGTATGGAACAGAGCACTAAACAGGAAGCTGGGGTTCTAGTCCTTGACCTTGACTAAGCCACTATCCCTCTCTGGTTTTGTTTCCTTATCTGCACAGTGAGGGAGTCGAACTCGATCAGTAAGAGCAAAGGAGATGCTGCTCCTCTTCCTTCGCTCACTCGTGGCAGACATCACTAATCAATCACAGAGTTCTTTTCTGCTGAGTTCAGATATGACCTTAACATCCTTTCCATTGCAGCGCTCTAGGCAGCCACAATGAATGGATTGGAGTTGGCATGCGAGGTGACACCTTTTTGCCATCTTTGCAATGGATGATGGCTGAGGTCCTTTCCAGCTTTGATCATCTACAGTTTGTTCCATCCACATTTTGTGAGAAGGGCGCCTGGGTGTGCGTGAAGGTCTCTGGACCCGCTGTTCCAAGTTATCCCCCACCCCCGCCCCACCCCAGCTCAGACTCAGCAGCTACTGAGGAGGCCCCAGGGGGAGCCACGCCTGACCTCTGTTCTGAAGCACCTGTCTAGAAAGGTTGTGGGGGAGGGTGTGCCCCCAGCGGGGTAGGGGCTTGTGGGGCACAGCAGGGCCTTGTTCAGCCACAGAATTCTCAGAATGCAGTTGTTGGCCACCTGGATTCTGTAGGGAGAAGGATGGTCCCAGGTCACACCCTCTTCCTTCTGCCTCCTAGGCTTACCTGCAGCCTCAAGGGCCAAGACGTCTGATCTTAACAGACATTGGCCTGCAGAGAGGTCTAAACCTCTCTCATTCATTCAACAAACATTTCCTGAGCACTTGCTCTTTGCCAGGCACTGTGCTGGGTGCTCTGGAAACAGAGATGAACAAGTCCCAGCCCCTGCCCTCAGGGAGCTCACACTCTGCTGGGGGAGAGGGGAGATGGGTGTCAATGATCAGTGGCATGGCAAGTGTGTATAAAGCCTCTGTGTGGACAGCCTCTGCGGTGAGGTCAGGGAAGTCTTTGCAGAGGAGAAGAAGGGCAAGCTGATCTTGAAGGATGATTAGAAGGTTGCTGGGCAGCCGGAGGGTGCCCTTGCAGGAAGTAGCTATAGGCAGAGGGACTGGCATGTGCAAAACCTTGGGAGGTTTGCAACCACTTGGTGTGTTTGGAGGAATGTGACCAGTTCTGGGAGGGTGGGAGCAGCTGATGGTAAGACTGAGGAGGTGGTTTCCCAGCCCACACAAGTATAGAGGGCCTCATGGGCCAGGTAGCTGTTTTAGAAAGACCATTCCGACTTTCTTGGGGCAGAGTGGGTCAGAAGTGGCAAGACTGGTGGTTAGGAGGCCAGTTAAGAAGCCCTTGGATAAATCCTGATGAGAGATGATGGGGGCTGAAACTGGGGAAAGGAAAAATATATTTAGGAAGAGACTCAGCAGGAATCAGTGGCTTATAGTGGAGTGAGGGTGAAGAGAGGGGAGACGTCAAGGGAGCCCTACGATCTTGAATAGTTGGGTGACTGGAGAGGTACCCGATCAGAGAGGGAACAATGGAGGGAGCAATCCAGGGAGTAGGGTAAGGACAGTGTTGGCTGTGCTGAGTCCAAGAAGCTGTGGGATGCTGGGGAGCCGAGCAGAAGCCTGGAGAGAAGTTTGCATAGAGACATGGACTGGTGACCTCAGCTCTAGGATGGTAGCAGGTGGCAGGGGTGTGGATAAGTGTGAGCAGGCACAAGGGCTGAGCAGGAGCCTGAGGTGCCAGAAGTGGGGGGGAGGGTGGGGAAGGGCCTGAGGAGGCGGGCAGAGGCAGAGGGATTGCGTGGGAGCAGCTGGTGGGTCTAACACATCCCATGAAACAAGATACTGACTTGAACTGATCAGTGAGAAGACTGGGCAGGTGGGAGGATGGAGGAGAGGAGGAGTGTGCGGAAGGAGGGGGCGTGCAGGTACCCCCTCCCCTGAGCTCATCTGAGGTGACACAAGGGACTTCAGGTGCTCTTCTTTAGGAGGTCCCTGAAGGCTGAGGGGAGGCAGCCAGAGTGAGAGGCCCAAGTTCAGACTTGGGAGGAGATTCCCAGCACAGGGTGGGGTCAATCTCAGGTGGGTCTGAAGAGGACAAGCCAGGTGAGAGGGACACAGGCTCAGTTGGGGGAAGGCTGACGGGGCCTCTATTTTCTCTGAGAAGTGGAGGGAGTGGGGACTTGACAAAGGGGAGGCAGGTCCCAGTAACTCCAGGCAGAGGAGAGGGAGCAACTCTGGGCCTGGAAGAGGGTTGCTGGCAGCCTGGACCCTCTGTCCTTCCCATCTCACCTCAGACCTCTGACCTGCATTCACCCTGACCCAGGCATCCTGTCTGAACACCTTCTCCACCCTCCGCAATCTAGCTTTCAGGAAATCCTCCTTGCACCCCCATTATTTACCTGGCTTCCTGGGACAGGCCTGGACTGGCACTTCCGTAGGACTTCGTGCCTGAGGATGCACGGCGGGCCCTCACACCCTGAATCAGGCACCTTCACCTCCACCTCGGCATAAATGTTGCTGGGGGCTTCCCCGGGGCTGCCACGGCCCATGGCATAGAAGTCTATGGGTTCATCAGGCTCGTGGTAGATGGGGTTGGAGGGCTTGGGGGGCGGGGTTGGGCGGGGTCTCGGAGCGGGGCTTGTGTAGACTTCGGGAGGCAGCTGAGGCTTGGCGGGGATGGGAGGCTTGGGCTTGGGCGGCTGGGACGTCTAAGAGAGAAGGCAGGCGGGGAGGAGAGTGGGTCAGAGCAACACAGGCAGGGCCAAAGCTGCAGCTCAGCCCGAGCCTCCGCTCCCTGCAGGCCCCGCCCCCTCCCCGCTGGCCCCGCCCCTGACCGCAGGGCCTTCCCTCTTTTCGTCTCCCGGCTCCTCCACTCCCTCAGGCCCCACCACCTCTCTCAGCCCCTCCCGCCCAGTACCTGCTTTGGCCCCCCCGCCCCATCTTTCTGCATGGGGGCTGCGCTTTGCTCCTTTTTGAGGATTGAGGTATACTGAGGTTGTGAGTCCTGGCTTTTGCTTCCAGAGTCTGATTCTTCAGTCCTTAGGGACAGTCCTGCGGGCTCAGGAGTCTGCGGGGAAAGAATGAGGCCTCAGGGACTTGGTGCACGACGGGCGGGTGGGAGTCGGCAAGTGATGCAGGGGGGAGCAAAATAATCTCGTCCATACGGATAATGTCGGGGGTGGAGGTGCGACACAGAAATTTGGGTGGCGCTGGGTTTCTGGGTGAGGAAGAGGCGGCAAGGAGACCAGGAGGTGGGACAGTCGCTCTGGTCACAGGCCATATTTAGCATTAAACTTAACTTCATCTGGAACATAGGGCCAGGCCAGTCGCCATTTGTACCTGTGGTTGTAAAACTGCAACAAGGCTTTAAAAGTCTTTAGCCTAAAATTTTTCGGCATGGGGATAGATCTCCAAGACTTCTGTGCCTGTGTTTATTTCTGCAGGTGCCAGGCGACTCTACTTTATGGAGCTATAAGCTAGACATCCTCGGGACAGAGACACTGCCTCAGGGATGAGGAGATGAGCCTTATAGGGTTCCTTCCCATGTTAGGTATGCTTTTTGCTCAGCATTTATCCCTGGGTTCTTGAATGTTCTCCACATGCCCACTACTTTTGGAAGGCTCAGGCCACAGGCCTTTTCTCATGCTTCTGCAATCCACCAAGTGTATGTCTCCATCTGAAGGTGTATAGGCAGTTCATGGATTCAAGTCAGAATTCTTTTTCCTTGCCTCAACCCCCTAAGAGTTCTTAGCATTCCCTTTATGAATAAAAAATAGCACCTCTACCCTGCTGCCGAAACAGCAGCACCTTAGGAGTCAACCTGGACACCTCCCTCCCTTCCTCCCCACATCTAACGGAGCACAAACCCTGCTCCTTCCACTGCCTAAATATCTTTACATCTGCACACCTTCTCCACGCCCACAGCTACCACTCCAGTTCAGGCCTCCTAAGTCCTCCTCCTGCATCATCTTGCCCTGCTAACCCATTCTCCACTCCGTGAGCAGAGTAAGCCTGCAGAAGTTCCCCTAGCAATCCTTCCATGGCTGCCTGTTGCTCCAGGATAAAGCCCAAACTCCAGAAAACGTGAGTGACAAGACCCTCTGAGGGCTGGTCATGGAGCTTGGTCTCTGACAGCTCTGCCTTTGGCTCTCGCAGCTCCAGCTGGCTCCCCTCCCCACCAGACTTCCCTACACCCTGTTCCAACTGCTTGGGAATCTTCAGGTCTCCACTTATTCCTCACAAAATTCTGCACAAGAGTTACCCCTAGGCACAGTCCCTCAAGGCAAGTTCTTTTTTTTTTTTTTTTTTTGCAGTACGCGGGCCTCTCACTGTTGTGGCCTCTCCCGTTGCGGAGCACAGGCTCCGGACGCGCAGGCTCAGCGGCCATGGCTCACGGGCCCAGCCGCTCCACGGCATGTGGGATCTTCCCGGACTGGGGCACAAACCCATGTCCCCTGCATCGGCAGGCGGGCTCTCAACAACTGAGCCACCAGGGAAGCCCAAGGCAAGTTCTTTGAACTGACTCCAATCAAGCTCCAGGAAACTACTCTTGCCCAGGTCACCAGTGACCTTCTGTTGGCCAAATCCAGTGGTTAATTCTGGACGCACTGGGACCTGCTCTTCCCTGATGCGTTTTCTTTGCTTCGCGTCTAGAGCATCACACTCCTGGTTCTTCTCCCCTCTCTCTTTGACTGCTCCTTCTCAGTTTTCTTTGTAGGTTCCCCCTCATTTCTGCAAACTCTCAATGCTGGAGACTTGGTATTCTTTTCCATCTACACTCATTCCTGAGATTTCATCCCTCCTGAAGCCTTTAGAATCAATCCATCTACATGCTGATGGCTCCCAAATGTTGATCTCCAACCTAGACTTCTGTCCTAAACTCCAGATCCCTATATTCCAACTGCATACTTGACATCTCCATTTGCATATTGAATGGATGTCTCAAACCGCAAGTGTCAAAACTGAACTCGCCATCTCCCCTGCCTCCCGCAGACTTGCTCCTCCTGTAGCCTTCCTCATCTCAGTCAACGACAACTCCATCTTTTCACACTCCTCACCCAATCCTGCAAAAACCCTGTCAGCTCCACTTTCCAAACAGACCCAGTGTTCCACCTCCTCACCCCTTCACCTCTACCAACCGGGTCCAGGCTGCCATCTTCTCTCCTGAAGTATTGTAGTGGTCTCAGTCTGGTCACCCATGTCCCTCTCAAACTTGCCAGGTCATGTCACTCTTTAGCTTGTAACTGTCCAGTGCCATCCCATCTCACTCAGAATAAAATTCCAAATCGTACAAGAATTTACTGGGCCCCTTTCCTTCACCCCTGTGGTCTCATTTCCTACCTCTCTACCCATGCTAGCTTCCTTACTGCTCTTATTCTTATTCACACACATCAAGGATCCTTCTGCCTCAGGGCCTTTGCACCTGCTGTGCTATCTACCTAGAATGTTTTTCCTCTAGTTATCTGCATGACTTTCTCCCTTACTTTATTCAGACCTTTGTTCAAATGTCCCCTTACCAGAATAGCCTTCCCTGATGTTCCTATGTAAAATAGCCCCAACCCTGTCACTCCTTGTTTCTGTATTCTCTGTTTGTTATCTGTATTACACATTCGTTGTCTGTCTCCTGTCACTAGAATGGAAGCTCCATGGAGGTAGGGGTATTTGGGTCAGTTTTGTTTACTGCAATTTTTCCAGTGCCCGGACCAATGCCTGGCACAGAGCGGTCCCTCAGAACTGCCTGAACTCCTCAGGGAGGCACTCTCTGACACGGCTCCCCACCACGTGAGCTAAATGGCACCTCACTCTGTATTTCCTCTCTCATCACACTCTCACACTTGATTCCTATTATATGTCTTTGCCGCTGGTAAGTAGCTTTGTGGGTTTGACACCCATATGTCTTGTCTCAGTAAACATCTCTTAATTTAAAGAACAAATGACCCAGTAATTCCCTGGACGTCTAGTGGTTAGAACTGGGCACTTTCACTGCCAAGTTCAATGCCTGATCAGGGAACTAAGATCCCACAAGCTTCGAGGCAAAAAACAAAAAAACAAAAAACAACCCCCCCCCCCCACCACCACCAAATGACCCGTCTGCCTAGCTGGCCACTCCCAGCCTTTGTGTGGCTGGGCTGGTCTCTCAAGGACCCCTCCTCCAGCACACGCATCTTTCTGGAAGGGCATCTGCGTGGAGATGTGTGGGCAAGGGAGGTTTGGCTGGGTCGTCGGTGGGAATGGGAAAGTGCCTGATGTCGAGGTCCTGCGGCCTGGGCTCTGCGTGGGGAGGGGCGCTGGCCTGGGTTCCCAGGGTCAGGGTCAGTGTCAGGGCCGGGGATGGGGGCTGCGTACCTGGCGGGCGAGAGGCTCGGTGAGCGTCTCCCCGTAGGGGCTCAGCGGGCACGCCTGGTAGTGCCGCAGCAGGTCCTGCAGCCGCGCGTGGGCGCTGTCCTCGCCCAGCACCACGTGGCGCCCGTCCCCGAGTTGGGCCAGCAGGAAGTGGCGGCAGCAAGTCCGGCTCCTGGAGGCACTAGTCAGGATCAGACCTGCTCCCTCTTCCCGGCAAGGGCACCAGCACGAGGAGCGACCCCTACCCGCCCCGCGCCCGGGTCTCCCACCCTTAGTAGCCTGGGGGCTGAGCATAGACCTCCTCCACCCCTGCTGGGAGTCAGCATGAAGTTCTTCCCCTCACACGTCCGTCAGTATCAAGCCCCTCCCTCTGATTAGCCCGAAGCCCCGCCTTCCTGTCGCCCAGCGCAGCGCTCCGCCCCTCACCTGTAAGTCAGCACAAAGGTCACGGCGCTCTCACTGAAACGCACCAAGTAGCATCCCTGAGGCTTGCTCTCTAGCAGCCTCTCAGCCTCTCTGTGGGTGATGGAGAAGACACGGAAGATGCTCAGACTCTTCCAGCCTCACCCCCTGTCTCCCTGGCTCTCATGGGGGGACCCCTACCCCCTACCAAGAGGGCTTAAGTGGCTAGAGAAGGGTGGAGGTGGGAAAGAGAGAGGATGTGGGCACTGCGCTCCTGCTGCAGGGACTGGGCGTGGGTGGTCAGGAGACCTCCCAGCCCTGCATCCTCCTCCTGGCCTCATCCTGGCTGGAAAAGCAGCCTGGGGTGGGGGACTAAGGGGGTCAGTACAGCGGCCTCAGCAAGAGGGATGGTAATAGACTCCTAGACTTCAGAAGTCACAAGCTGAACAGAGGATGTGAACAGAGAGATACGGGAGAAGTGAAGCTGAGAAGTGGAGGAAGAGGGAGGAACTGCAAGGGAGGGAAGAAATAGAGGGCTGGAGAGAGCCAGAGGTAAATAAAGATGGAGGGAGAGAGACTGAGGCAGAGGTGGAAACTTGAGCACTAGAAGCCTTAGAGACAGGAGGAAAGTTGAGCCTAGAAGGGAGAAACTGAGGCACGGAGTAGGGGGTTTGGGCTAGAACCTCTCCAATGATCTCCCCCAGGAGAGCTGCCTTAACGAGGAGCCTTGGAACCTCCAGGTGTCATAGCCTGGCCTGTAGCCTCAATCTACTCCTGACTGACCGCAGGACCCGGGACTGGCCCCTGCCCTTCTCTGGGCCTATTTCTTCCTCTGTGACTCACCTCCGGGTGATGAAGCCGTGGAACCAAGCAGGGGCTGCCCCATGCTGCAGGAGCTCACGGGCCTGGGTCTTCTGGAACCAAGCCTGAGTCTCAGCCTGCAGGGACATGCCTCCTTCCCTAGGCACCTCTTCCTTCCCAATGTCCTTTGGGCTGCAGGCAGCCCCTGGGGCCTGGGGTGGTGCCTGGATAGGGGAAGAGTTCAAGGAGGGGGAAGTAGCCATGATTAGTGGTCCTTCTTCTGACTTCAAGCAAGCTACTCCCTTCTCATCCTCATACCTAGCCCCTCCTGGACATGTGGAGGAAGCTCCCCTTCCCCCATCCCTGTTGCCTATTTTAGGGTATAATTGCCCAGAAAGTCCCTCCCCAAGTGTAACTTAAATCTCTTCTTTAGGTCAAACTGTTTTTGTTTCCAGGGAATTTCCTTCCACTTCCGTCTGTGTCCGTGGGCCTTTGATCCAGTAGCAGTGAACTGTTAAACTGTGCTTAAATGGGAGTGAGGCCTTCCAGATGGGCAGAAAGGCATTCCCTGGCCTGAGGGATGAAGGGAACGCCAGAGGCCAGAATGAGGGAGGGCTCACCCTACAGTAAGAGGGACTGAGCTGGTTCACAGGGAGGATTTCCTAATGACTGGGTGAGTGAGAAGGCCTGAGATGAGGATGCACTGGGCAAATGAAGGCCACGGACAGAGATGCAGACCCTCCCTCTGGGCCGCTGGCTTTGTCGGCAGCCTCCAGCTCATTCCTGCTTTGGCCTCTGTCCCCCTGCGAGCCCTCACCCGTGGGAGGGTGGGAGCAGAGGAGGGAGCAACACCCCCCAGGTTCCCACTCACCGCAGGGTGCACAGCGGAGGCCCTGGGGCTGGGCCGGGCTTCCTGGGCCTTCGGGGCCTGGAGTCTGGGTCCCGGCAGCAAGCCCGGGCCCTGGCAGCTCCTGCGGTTCAAGTCTATGGGCTGGAAGGTGCTGAAGGTTATGGTGGGGGCTTCTTGACTCCCTGTTAGCACAGAGAAGTTTCTCAGTGAGGGCCTGCCTCTCCCTCTGCTGCCCACCCCTCCCCCAGACTCAGAGGGGCCCCATAGGCCTCTCCCTGGGGACCTGGAAGACCGGGACAGTTGTGACAGCAGGAGAAATGCAGGAGGGATGGCAGACACGATTTCTCAGGGAAGAGGAGTAAGGGGCCAAGGAGGCGCAGAGGGGCTTCTTAGGGAAACTGGGCCCCAGGAAGGAGTGCTGGGAAGCCAGCTGGCCTTCGGCTGGTCTGGAAGTCCTGAAATCCGGGAAAGGAGGCAGATCTCTTCAGGGCAGGTCCCTCTGCTGGCCCAGGATCCTCGACCTCCGAGCCCCCTTCATCCTCCTGCTGCCTCCTCTCTCCACTCGAAGAAGCCCTCAGAAGACCCTTTCACCCTTATCCTCAGGGATGCGTGGACCTGGAGCCCCCAAAGCGGAGCAGGGGTTGTGGGCTGCCTGCCCGCCAGCTCTGGCTTGAGGTGTGGCCCGTCACCCCTGAAGTGGGAGCTCAGGCCCAGAGGGAGGAGAGCAGGCGTCATGGGGGTCTTGATGTTCCCTCCCACCCACATTCCCCAACTTCACACTTACCTTGAGGGCATATCTGGGCCAGGGGGAACTCCATGGGGGCAGCCTAGGAAAGGAGCCCCTGGAGCAGGGTGTGTGTCTGGGCTCTCAAAAGGTGTGCACACTCAGCTACTCATCTCTCCTCTCACCCCAGCCCCCGGGGGCAGGAAATGTCGCCTCACCCACAGCCCTAGCCCTCGCGGAGGACTCACGTCATGGAAAGCCGTAAGACAATTGGCCCTCCCCCGGAAGCCAGGCAGCTGAAGGTGGTGGTGGTGTGGTGAGTATTTGTGTCATTGTGTGTCTGGGTGTTGGGGAGTCCTTGTTGCTGTCTTATCTCCATCTCTCCGGTGACTCTTTCTCCACGCCCTCACTCCAGACTGGGGCTTTCCTTTCTCTCCTTCTCTCTTTGTCTCTCTCTCCATCTCTCTCCCTCTGTCTGAGCAGTGGCAGTGGGGACATCAACCTCAGAAGGATAAGCCTTATAAGGTGATGGGGCTTCGGGGTCATCGAAGATTCATAGGCAGGGCTGTGCTCTTAAGACACACGAGGAGGGGAGGGGGCAGAGCTGCAACAGAAAGAATGTGGGTCAGACTTTTGAAGGATTTTCTGAGGTCATATGAAACCTGTGAGACAAGGGGGATAGGGAAGAGGGAACCTGGCTTCATCGTCAAGCAGAGAATGGAGCTGGGTTAGGACAAAACCAGGCCATCCCACAGAAAGGGAGGGGAAATTTCCTTCAAGTAAGCAGGTCGTTATTAGCAGCTGTTATTAATAACTTCAGAGCTGATGTCCTAAACCTGCAGTGTGCTTACATCTGCTGCCACCCTAGAGGACCAATCCCATTTCTCTCTTGTGTGATCCTCACAACTGAGAAGGAGTCAGGGAACATTATCCCCATTTTCCAGATGGGTAAACTGAAGCTTAGAGAAGTTAAGTGCCTTGGCCTGGGTCTTTCAGTGTCTCAGATGTTCATGGCAGAGTTGGGACTAGAAACTAGATCTTCTTTTACAAATTTCACTGTGATTTAGGCCAACAGTCCATGGCTATGTGCCAGGCACTGTTCTTGGTGCTGAGAGCCCAGAGAGAAAAAGGATCTTGTCTCAAGATGTCAAGAGGGGGAAACGACTTGCCAACAGGTACTTACAGAGGGTTGTGATGAGTTAGTGGTGTGGGCTGGTGCTACGGGAGCCCACCTCAGAGGCTCCTAATCTAGCCGTGTGTGCGGTGCATGCCTGCGTGTACAGGGGGTTGGGATGTCAGAAGAGGGGATTGAGCTGAGCTGTGGAGGATGAGCAGGGTTGAGGAAGGTGGGGAAAGGTGTTTCTAGAAGAGGAATGAGCGTGTGCAACTGCATGGAAAAAGGAAATGACTGGAGCGGAAGCTGGCTTGGGGGCTGCCAGCAATGGATTATGCAGCTGGAGGGGCCAGGGCCAGAGTACACACTGCCTTGCACCCAGGAAGGACTTTGGAGTCCCGACAGCCTGGAGAGCTACTTCCCCAGCAGCTCTGAGAGGGAAAGACTTCCCCCAGGAGTCATGGCTGGCCCAGCCACACCCATACCCCAAAGCCTTGCCTCCCCCTGAGCTGCCTGAGCCCTCTTCCCTTCCTTAAAAACTGTTGCCTTAGCCTTGATCCCAGCCCCCAGAGATGGGATCGAGACTAAGGCATGTTGAATGATCTCCCTCACTATGCTCTGCACCGAAAGCAGAGGGGGCTCAGCAGACGTCAACTGGGGAGCAAGATGCCCCTGTCCCCTTCTTGAAGCCCTCCTCCCATGATGGTGTGTGATTCTCTTGAACACCTCTCCCTCATATGGTTTGGAAGTGGAACATCAGTTAGTATAGGCTAGGTTATGCTGAGGTGACAAAGAACACCAAAATCTCAGCAGCTTAACACAACAAAAGTCCATTTCTTACCTATGCAAGTTACACTGAAGAGCTGGGCATCTCTTCAGGGCAGCTGTTGCCCAGGTGGTGGCTCAGCCTCCCAGGTTGCCTAAACATTATGGTGCTTCCATATCTACACACCCTCCCACAGTCACGGTGGCACGGGAAGAGGAGTATGGAGAGTTATCCACTCTTTCTTAAATGCTCTCCCCATCTCTGGGAGTGAAACATGCCCCTTCCGCTAACACATTATTAGCCAAAGCAGGTGGCTTGCAGGATCTCAGTTCCCTGACCAGGGATTGAACCCAAGCCACAGCAGTGAAAGCCAAGAATCCTAATCACTAGGCCACCAGCGAACTCCCAGGGATGCGTATTCTTCCACATGCCCAGATGGGGAGGAGCAACGGCTACGCTGATGAACCCCATCATGTCTCCTGTAGTGAGGAAGCATCCCAGCTCAGGATTTAGTCTTGAGGACAAACAAGCTTAGCAAGTGTCTCAGTAGAGCTCAATGCAAGACTCAAAGTTTGACACTTTATTTGGGAGGTACAAGCTCAGGGTGGTGAGGATAAGGAGAAGAGAAGTGAAGCAAAAAAAAAAAGTAGAATAATATTACTGCATTGGTTATCACTTCAAAATGAGCTGAAAAGAGAAACATCCAGTTTCTTGACAGGCATTTTCACTTGAGGACTTTCTCCAGACAGGGTGCAAGCTGAAACCACAACTTGGAGTAACCCACAGAGGGGAGAAAGGAGGAAGAACTTATCTTCCCAGCTCCCTCATACTTCCCACTTCCCATTGATCAAGATGGTCCCACAGGAACCGACTTAGAGATTGCATCCCCTGTACCTTGGTATCCGCTCAGGAAGCCAGATCTCATGGTCCTTGGTGTGGTGTCTGATATTAATCAGAAATGGAGAGGTGACTCAGAGAGATAGGTTCAACAGGTGAGGTGTGAAGACTGTGCATTCCTAGGATTCGGCTTGGACTCTAGCCAGCTCAGGTCCCGAAAAAGGGCTCTGAAAAAAGTGGAAGTGGTTTGGGAGGCAGCCAGCCAAGGAGTCAATGAAAAGAATCTAAGGAGGTGTACAAGTTTTGTGTCCAACACAGTCTATCCCTTGTGCCTTCTCATCATATACAGATCTTATACTACAAGACAGGGCTTACATTTGTTCTGTACAAACAGAAACATCCTTACTCTCCAAGAAGGGAGCTACACTCAGTCACACAACCCCCTTCAAGGTGGAGGTCAAGGGTGTCTTTCTCAAAGACTGAGGTGAGAGGATAAGTGAGAAAAGCTACAATCCTGGTAGTTGTAACTGATCCAGAGGCTCTGATTGATAGTCATCATCCCCCTTCTCTGCCACTCATCCTAGATGCCCCCACCTTTAGTTAGCATTTCATCTGGTCTGGGTTGTTTTTCTGGTGGGGTGATCCAGAACTTCATTCCCCCAGGGTATAGACCCCTAATTGCCCAGCCCCTGTTGGTTGTTGTAGCTACCCATTAACAGTCATCGCCAGGCATGGAAGTACTAAGAGATGTCCCAGACATTCTCTGACCAACTGGCCAAGCTATTTGCCACTCCCTAGTAGTCCTTGCCCATCCTTACTCTGGACCATCTTTCCCTATGTGCAAAGAGGATGACGGATGTATGCTGCAGCTCTGGGAGGATTTCCCTTTAGCACTGTCTTTCAGGGACACTCTGAGTGAGACCATACTGCTGCTAGTGCCAACATGTCATCCTGGCACATCTATCAGTTGGTTATAGAGAATCCCTATGAGGTTACAAATGTGGTTGAAGAAGAAGCAGTAGCAATAGAGGCAGGAGATTGGCAGTCTGGGCCGCCTGCTCATGCAATTTACTTTTGAATTCTCCATCAGTTCAAGACTGGTACAGATGTATCACGCCCACCACAGAATGAAATTACTTGCTTTGCCTGTCCAACTTTAGGACTCGTGGATCAGATAACATTCAGTTTTATGACGGGCAGCTCATGTTGAATGGTCACTTGGCGCCCATTGGTCAGGCACTCAGTCTCTATTAGGGCCCACTATCGAACCAGGAGCTGTTTTTCAGATGTAATTCTTTGTCAGAGAGGGCATAACCTTGTTCCAGAATCCCAGGGTATGTGCTGCAGTTCCCCATCAGAGCTTGCCAGACTCCACACAGCATCCTTATCCATCACAACAGGGATTTCCAGCACCACTGAACGTGTTGGATCACAAGGCCCGAGAGGCGGGGCAGCTTGTTTGCAGCCTGGACCTGCTGCAGGGGACCGTCTTGCTCTGGGACTCACTTAAAACTGCCAGCCTTCTGAATCACCTCACAACTAGCTTGAGGTGATATTCTCAAGTGCAGCACACCTAGCCTCCAAATCTAAAGAGTCCAAATAAATGCTGTGTCTCTTTCTTAGTGCTGGAAAGTATAAGGAGCAACCTCTTGTCCTTTATAGCAAGTTCCAGACCAGGGCTTTTGGAAAGGAGGTGGCAATGGAGGGAATCTGAGGAGATCTGTGTCTAGCATAACGAGGATAATATACACAAATATCTTTCTTTACTTTTTCGTTCCTACCATTTGCATTCAGGGAACAAAACTGGTGTGTGTGTGTGTGTGTGTGTGTGTGTGTGTGTGTGTGGTGTGTGTACCATCCTACCCTGTGTTCAGACTTTACCAACGGCCCACCATTACCTTGTATAATCAGTTATTACTTGATAAATAACTGTCAAGGGCAGCTTTGCCTTATTTGAGGGCTACCTGGCATCATTTTACAGGTGAGAAAGCTGAGATCAAGGTCAAGAGACTTAGCTTCAGTCACACAATGAGAACATTAGTCTTAACCTGGGGCTTCCAACTTGGGACCTCTAGGTATGGGGGTGGGGAGGGAGATTAGAGCCACCAAGTCTTGAGTGTTTGCCATTAGCAAGCACCGTGCTAAGTGCGTTACAGGCATGGATTCTTATACCCTTATACAGACCCATGAAGGAGATGCTCTGATTATCATCCCCACTTCACAGACAGGGAATCTAGACTTAAGAAGGTCAAGGGACTTGCCCAAGGTCACACGGTCAGGAAGTGGACATTAGAACCAGGTGGTCTGGCTTCAGATCTTGGGATCAGATCTGATTAACTACTAGCCAATACAGATGGCAAGAAGTTAGGGACATAACCCCATACGGATGGGTGGGCCCTGCTTCACTGCTTTCCCACTGAATGATTTCATGTTAAAGATACCTGAGAAGAGCAGAAGAGGTGCAGA